ATTGGTCGGTGACGTAATCAACAATGTAATTCGCAATCCATGCCCTTCTCAATAATATGCAAGCATGGTATGAATCCCAGTTTTGCTTTCAGAAGAACATGACACAGCACCTAGTCACCACGTCTCCTCCCTCACTATGACCATTATAACTGTCACTCATTACTCAGGCAAATGCCAGGCATCAAAAATGGTTTTAATCGGTTACAGCTTTAGGAAACATTATCAAACAAATAATGATAAAGAACGAGGGACAGGACATGCATTAAGCGCGTTATGACGACTCCTCAAGAATAAATATCACAAAGATGTCAAACAGGGTCCTCCGTAGGCTTTTAAGCATAACACTTCATTTAGACTGATTGACTAGACCTTACAATGTTAAAAATGCTCCTCGAGTCAAGCTTTTCACAGTTTGTTCTCTCAGTCAGTCAACCAGTCATCAAACCACTACACGCACAACAATTCATTGCGCACACAAGGGAAGTGAAAAGAAAAACAAATTCATGGTCAGCCAAACCGACTTCCCACCACCTGTTGACCAGTGGCATCTGGCAGGCACTCGTGCTCACCCTCCACCACCACCACCACCATCACCACCACAACTCCTTTAAAGGTAACGTAGGAGTGAACCAAGTGCTGCATCAACACTCACATTAGACATCGCTGTTGGCTACTCGTGACACATTGATCTTCAGTGGCCTTGACAAAAAGGGACATGCAGTTCTTTGTTAGTCAAAACAGAGCGTCTACCTTAAAGTAATGTCAGTCCAGTGACTCAGCATCACCACAACTGTTCAAACCATTCGTTAACAAGCAATGTGTTTCAATATTACCTGCTGCGCCCTTTCTAAATGAAGGAAAAAAACCTGACAAAAGATTGCATTCTATTTCAGCCTTGGAACAGAAGTAAACCTCGTTCCTAAAGTGGACGAGCTCGAACCACGTTAATTTTAGCTAATAATTAGGAAAGCTCAATCCGAAAACATAAAAGAATATCATATTGATACTGACGCACGCGTTTCACGAACCCCAATGAGTGATTGCGACGAGTTCCATCAAGAATTGCACTAAACTCTTCAATCATCTGGTGGATTTTAGGTCCACCTGCGCTTCTGTAACATCAAATGTGTAAATAACAGGCGGGGAGACATTGTTGGGCATTGG